TTCTGTGTTCCTTTTGTTAGCACCGTTTATTGGAAAGGCCACCGTTTCTGTAATGTATGTTCTTGGCACTTTGTCAGCAGTCAGTTGACTATATATATGTGAGTTTATTTCTGAGTTCTCTCTTCAGTTGACTTATGTGTTTTTATGTCAGTACCATGCTGATTTAATTACCGTAGCTTTGTAGTACTGTTTGGAATGGGGTATTGTGATACACCTGCTTGATTTGGGGAGGAGGGAGGAGAGGGAGATGCTTTGTATTTCTTTGGTTATTCTGGGGTGTTTCAATTTCATATGAATTCTAGAATTGTTTTTTTCTAATTCTGTATAGAATGTCCTTGGTATATTGATAGGGACTTGCTGAATCAGGATTTCTTTGAGTTGTATGGACATTTTAATGACAGTGATTCTTCCAATACACATTTGTGTGTGTGTGTGTCTTGGTTATTTCTTCCATCAGTGTTTTATAATTTCCATTGTAGAGATCTTTCACATTCCTGGGACTGGCATTGTGGCCTAGCTGATTAAATCACTGCCTGTGACTCCAGGATCCTAGGTGGACACCAGTTCAAGTTCCAGTTGCTTTACTTCTGACCTGGCTCCCTGGGAATAGCCTGGGAAAGCAACAGAAGATGGCCCAAGTCCTTGGGCCTCTGCACCCACGTGATCTGGGAGAAGTGCTTGGCTTCAGCTTGGCCCAGCACTGGCCTCTGCAGCCATGTGAGAAATGACCCTGTGGATGGAAGATTAATCTGTGTGTCTCCCTCTCTCTAACTCTATCTTTCAGGTAAATAAAGAAATCTTTAAAAACATTTACTCCTAGGTATTTAAAGTTTTTAGTCACTGTGAATGGGATTGTTTCTTGATTTTTTTTCTAAAATCACTGTTGGTGTATTAAAACACTATTGATTTTGCACGTTGATTTTCTAACTTATGAATCAATCGAATGGGCTGATCAACTGTTCATGGAGTGTTTAGGCTTTTCTGTGTACAAGGCGTGTCATCGATAAGCATTGATTTCTTCCTTCCCAATTCCAATGTTCTTTTTTCTGTTTTTCTTCCCTAGTTGCTTTAACACTTGTATGAGTGTGGAAAATGGACATCCTGTTATTCTAAATTTGAAGGGAAATGTTTTTGAGTTTTCTCCCATTCGGTGTCATTTTGGCTGTATGTGTAATAGTTTTTGTTATACTTTTGAAGGTTGTTTCTTTGCCTCATTTTTTGGTGAGTTTTTATCATGAAGAGACACTGAATTGCAAGAGCTTTTCCGCTCTGTTGAGATCTCACAGCTTTTGTTCATTTTATTGATGTGGTTATTAACTGATGTGTAAATATTGAGCCACACTGGGATAAATTCCACTCCGTTATGATGTATGATCTTAATACAGTGTTGGGTCCGGTGTCACTGTGGGCTTGAGCAAGCTCATCAAGGATACTGGTCTGCAGTCTCCTGCCGCTGTTGTGGCTTTGTTTGAGTTTGGCATCAGAGTTACTTGGCCCTCACGAAAGGAGTTTGAGTTCTGAACTTCTCAGTATTTTGGAATAGTTTGAGGAGTATGAGAGAGAGAGCTGCTTTAACTAGTCTGCAGAATTCTGTTATGAAACCTTTGGGCCCTGGAACTCTGAAGGGAAATTCCCACTGTCACTTGTGATAGGTCTTTCTGGAAACTCTACATATTGATTTATTTTGTGTGGGTTGTGTTTATCCAGGAATCCACCCATTCCCTCCAGGTTTTCCCATCTAGTAGCCTGTTGTTCACAACAGTTTCTTAGGATCCTTTGTGGGTGTGTGGTATCCGTGGTAACGGTGCCTTTGTCATCTCTCTAGCTGCTTTTCTTCTCTTACAGCTTGTTTTTGCTTTTCTCACCCCTGCATCGTTAATTTAAGCTCGTTCCAGTTATTTCGTGCGTTTACTGTGATCAACTTCCTGCTTCCAAGGAATTTTTGTTTACCTCTTCATGTATTCGATGGCCCATTGGTCGCGCAGGTGCATGCCGACCCATTACCAGTTTTCCGTGTTTCTTGATGCTGATTTCTAGTTTCGTTCCTCTGTCATCTGAGAAGATGCATGGCATGAGTGCAGTTTCTCAGAATGCGCTGAGCCTCTGTGGCCTAGAAAACATCCGTCCCCCTTACGTGAGCTCAACAGAAAACGGTGCCTTCTGCCTGCTAGACGAGAAGCTCTCTGAGCGGCTAGAAGGTCGGTTTGCTTTAAACCTTGTATCAGCGCCTAGGGATCTGGGCAGGGAGTTGAATCTGTTTTTATTTTTAATTTATTTTTTTTAAATGATTTAGCCTACCTGTATGTTTCAACTGGGAAAGTTCACCCATTACATGCAAGGTTACTGCTGAGAGACGAGAACAAATCCCCGTCGTTTTGTCGGCTCCTTTAAATGTTCTTTTCTGCTTCTCCTGCCCTTCACCCCTGTGCCCTGGGCGCTTTCTGTGTGGGAAGCCTCGGCTCTCTGCCACGTTCGTTCAGTGCATCTGTTCTGTTAGCCTGTGTTTTCATGGTGGCTTCATTTTTATTTTTAAAGATTTATTTTTATTGGAAAGGCAGGTTTACAGGGAGGATGAGAGACAGAACAATCTTCCACGCTCTGGTCATTCCCAAAGTAGCTGCAATGGGTAGAGCTGAGCTAATCTGAAGCCAGGAGCCAGGAGCTTCTTGTGGGTCTCCCACACAGGTGCAGGGTCCCAAGGCTTTGGGCCATCCTCAACTGCTTTCCCAGGCCACAGGCAGGGAGCTGGATGGGAAGTGGAGCTGCCGGGATTAGAACCGGCACCCCTATGGGATGATGGTGGATGCACGGTGAGGATTTAGCCTTTGAGCCATCGCGCCAGGCCCCGTGATGGCTCCTTCCAACGTAGACCTCCCCATAGAGTTTGGTAGTAGGACTGCTTCCAGGGTTGATGAAGGCTCTTGGTTTTTCTTTGGGAAATATTTGTTTTTTCTCTTTCACTTCTGAGATAAATTAGAGCCCCTTTCTCAAAGATCACATTTCTTGGGCTGTGCATTTTATATGAGAAAAGTACGTAAGCTCATGGTCTCTTTCAGAAAATTCTTAGCAGTGACCTTGTCTCCCCTGGGTGTGTTTTGGGCATGGCTGTGCAGGTGTGATGGAACAGTGCATTTTTGTGTCCTTGAGCCAGCTCCCGCCGTGCCTCTGTCTCGGGGAATAAGGAAGCTACACTTCTCCCCAAAGGATAAACTTAGGGGATTTTCTTCAGAAAAACAAAACCGCAGCCTTTGAGGTATTTCAAGTGTTTTACAGTCAAAATTCATCGTATGCTTTAGGGGTTAATGTTTATATGCCGTACTCTGAAGACTGCAAGAAAGTAGGGTAATTTTATCATTTAGAACATTTATAGATTTGTTTATTTTTTACGTGAGAGATAGGTTTACAGAGAGAGAAGGAGGAGCAGAGAAAAATCTTCCATCTGCTGTTCATTTCCTAAATGGCTACAATTTCCAGAGATGACGTGATCTGCAGCCAAGAGCCAGGGGCTTCTTTTGGGTCTCCCCCGTGGGTGCAGGGTCCCAGGTACTTGGGCCATCCTCCTCTGCTTCCCCAGGCCGCAGGCAGGACACTGAAGCACCTGGGGCTTGAGCCAGTGCCCATATGGAATGCTGGCACTACAGGTATAGGGTTAGCTTGCTAAGCCACTGTGCTGGGCTCCTGTATCTGCGTGGTTGGAGAGGCCTCTAGAACCGTGCAGCAGTCAGGTGGCTAGCTCCTCGTTCAGCAGGGCTCCGAGTGCCTGCTCCAGAGCCTGTAGGTAGAGGCCTTCACTGACTGTATGCTGAGTAAGGAATAAGAAAAGCAGGGAACCCTAGCAATGGATGAAGACCTCTGGGCTGATTCAAAATGCAGGCCAGCATCTAGACAGAATCACGCAGAAAAGCCGTCGGTCGATTTATAAAGTTTTAGATGTGCTCGTTGCAAAGAGATTTCAGGCTGGGCCTGAAATACCATCTCTAGTTGCACCTGGGGTCAGTACTTCACAGACAAGAGCAGCGCAAACAAAGGGATAAATGATGCTGGGGAATCCTGCTGGGAAGATGTGGTTTAGAGCCCAGCCCTCCGGGACTTTCGTCCTACCACGCTGCGCCACAAGGTGGCACCCCAGAGCAAGGCTCTTCAAGCGCCTTGCTGTGTTGGGAGTTGGCTGGCTTTATTCCAGCCTTTGAAATGTCTATTTTTGTTTTAAGTCAGAAATACGAGTTTAGCAGTGACCCATGGACACCAAATTGTGTTCACCAATACTTGGACCCAAAGTATGTTCAGGAGCTACTCACATTTCAAAAGTTTAAATTCCCACAGGAATGAAGACAGGTGTGTTCTTAGGAAAGCGAGGGCACCCCTGGCTCTGCCAACGCATGGCGCTGGCACCCTTGGAGATGGCTTTAGTTTAGCCAGTGTGCTCAATTTTACCCATGTAGTTCTTAAAAACATTTAAAATTTTTATTGGAAAGGCAAAGTAATGCACAGAGAGACTTATTGATGGGGGATTTGAGTCCCAGATGGCTACAGCAGCTAGGACCAGCAGAGGCTGCCTGCAGAAGCCAGGGCCAAGGAGCCCAGGTGTCCACCTGCAGCGGGGAGCCCCAGGGCCATGCTGCGGTGCCAGTGTTGGCCAGCACGTGGCGCGCTCCGGAGCACCTGCCCTGCAGCCGTGCGGCTTTGAGAATCCCTGTTCCTGCTTCGGTGGGAACACTGCCTGGTGAGTTCGTACCTGGCAAGGCAGCATATCCCTACACATCTTCCCTCCTCAACGGAAGCCCTGTCCCCAAGGGTCCCGCTTCAAGCAGCAGCGGGCTTCAGCTTGGTCCATGGGGAAGACGATCCATACTTAGCAATGACCAGGGCTCAGGTTTCCCTTCCTGCTGTTGTAGGATAGATACTAACCGGGATTTTCAAACACGGGACACGATGCGTTGGGGACCAAAGGAATGTGGGTGTGCGGGGGACGGTCCCTGAGGTGCTGTGCTTCTCTTTAGATGTGTCGCCTGAGAGTTCTGTGAAGTCCAAACAGTCCAGATTAGAAGGCGACGCGCCAGGATCCCCCCGCGTGGCAGCTAACACCCCGCCCCCACTGGCAGGTTCTGGTGAGCATGGGATAAACACGCAGGCGGGAACTGACCCAGATGGGTTACAAGGGAGTTCCAGTTAGAACATCAGAGTAGCTACAGAAGCCTGAAGACCAAGCAATTTACATAAATTACAGATGCATAAATTACATGCATAAATTACAGATAAGAGCGAGCACCATCCCCCTCCTACCATTTTGATAGCTGTGATTTCTCGGGAACTGAGCGTTCTAATGAGGGTGGGAATTTTTTTTTTTTTTTCCTGCTAAGGGCCATTTGGATATTTATAACATCCCTTGTGGGCCGCATGGAATTACCAACTTAAAAATTAACCTGTAATAGATTGGCTTTGAAGATTTTTTTATTATTATTATTTTTTTATTGGAAAGGCGGATATACAGAGAGGAGAGACAGAGAGGAAGATCTTCCGTCCCATGATTCACTCTCCAAGTGAGCGCAACAGCCGATGCTATGCCGATCCGAAGCCAGGAGCCTTTTCTGGGTCTCCCACGCGGGTGCAGGGTCCCAAAGCTTTGGGCCGTCCTCGACTGCTTTCCCGGGGAGCTGGAAGGGAAGCGGGGCTGCCGGGATTAGAACCAGCGCCCATATGGGATCCCGGGCGTGCAAGGCGAGGACCTTAACCACTTGCGCCACTGTGCCAGGCCCTAGATTGGCTTTGAAATCCTGCCTGCAGTTACCTTGGCAGGACCAGGCCAAAGGATCTTGCCGGCCGGTGTTAAGCAGTGGCCGCGGGCTGTGCCTCTCCCACCCCGTTGTTCAGGTCTCTGCCTTCCCTCATGGTTAGTAACCACACTTTTTTTTTTGGCTCTCAAAACAACTGTATGAGGCAGTCTTGAAAAAGCTGACGAAAAATGTGTATTATGGAAAAACTGCAGCTTTCAAAATTGTTTTGTACTCAAATATATCTTCAGATTTCATTTTTTTTTTTTTTGAGCTTTTTCAAAGTCATCTCACAAAACAATCGGGGAGGACAATCTGGCGTGTCCACGTGTGTCAGCTGGACTTTGGGATTAATAGCCCCGTGTATTTGGAAGCCGAGAGCTCCTAAAGATGAGGTTGCCGTCCCCAGACACGGGAAGATGGTGGTTCTGGTCTGGGTTGAGTCCTGGAGTTGCTGGGGGCACATATGCATCAGACAATACCAGCTTCACACAAATTTCAAAAGATTTTTATTTATTTTTATTGCAATGTCAGATGTACAGGGAGGAGGAGAGACAGAGAGGAAGATCTTCTGTGTGTTGATTCACTCCCAAAGTGGTCACAATGGCTGGAGCTGCGCCAATCCAAAGCCAGGAGCCCGGAGCCTGGAGCCTCCTCCGGGTCTTCCACATGGGTGCAGGGTCCCAAGGCTTTGGGTCATCCTTCCCTGCTTTCCCGGGCCACAAGTAAAATGCTGGAAGGGAAGTGGAGCCGCTGGGACAAGAGCGACATCCAGACGGCATGCCGGCACTGCATACAATGCATTTGTTTGCTGTGCCGCCATGCTGGCCTCACGTAATTTTTTTTTTTTTTATGAGAAACGAATGAGTCCATGTGTGCCCATCCGTTATGATCACTCCAGACCTACTGGAGCCCTGTGAGGCCAACAACCTGAGGCCAGATGGCCCACTTGTCCCCCCTAGACACAGCCCTGACCATCTTCTGGGTCTTCCTTGAAAATGTCCTAGCTGGCATTCAGGATATTAGAGCAGTCGCCGTGACGGGTCAGCTCTAGATGTTTAGGGAAAGTTGTCTGAAGGGCCCGTGGGAACTCCACCCACGACGCCACAGCCAGGATCAGCCTAGGGCACCATTGAGCCTTGCTGAGTTCTCTGGGGCATGGATGCGCTGGACACACCTGCTTTGAGCTGTTTGTTTTCTTCAATGTTTGTTTCTGTTGCTCAGAAGGCTTCTCGACTCCTCCATCCCCGGAAGGAGCACCGGAGGGCGCAAAAGGTTCTGCCATCATCACAGCCTTTGAAAGCTTCTCCAGGCGCCTGAGAAGAAAATACGAGGTAACGCAGTCCTTGAACTTCATGGCTACTTTGTTACACATCGAGCCCCGTGATGGGAAAGGCCAAACCCACGTGCCCTGTGGCTGCCCCCGCTGGCTGACAGGTGGAATTGAAATTTCCTTCCTGGGGAGCTGCTGGGCAGTGTCAGCACTTTCAGGTACAATGACTTGTACTTGAAATCTGCTGAGAGTAGAATTTAAATGTTTTTACGACACACAGAGAAGTAGCTGGAGTGATGGGGTATGAATCGGCCTGATGTGTGGTCATCATTTTGCGGTGTATTCCAAAAAGGTGAGGAACATGGCGTGCAAATGTGTTTTTTTTTTTCATGGCACCATTTGGTGACATCCATAGCTTTTCCTACATAATCCATGCGCTATTTGAAGTATAGAATTTCAGAATTTTTGCATTCTGAAACTCAGCTTTGGGTTCTGTTTTCCATCAGCTTTTTAAAGTACTCTTGTATGTAGACTCTGAAGCTAGTGCATGTATGCTTTGAATAAATATATTCATCGATGATGCCTCCACAAATCGAGGGAGAAAAAGGCGGGGACAGACTCGTCATTGTGAGAGGTGTGTGTGAGGTCAGACTGGTCCTCGGGCCCCTCTCCTCCTCGGCGAGGCTGCAGTGACCCTCAGCCAGGGTCGCTGACCTCCGTGCGTTTGTGATGCGAGGTTTGCGTTTTAGGAGATTCTCCCTGCTGTACTGTCCTGGGCCTGAGTGAGTGGTTACTGGATCGGAATCAGGGCTAGACTTTAGTGGCGGCATTCTCAGCCAGCTTGCTGGCCACCACGATGGGAGGGGGGAGAGTAAACAGGTAGTGGTCAGGCGGGGCGGTCAGGCGGGGCGGTCTGGCAGGGTGGCAGGGTGGTCAGGCGGGGTGGTCTGGCCGGGTGGTCCGGCGGGGCGGTCAGGCAGGGTGGTCTGGCCGGGTGGCCCCTGAGAGGTCAGAGACCTCTGGGAGACTGTGCGTTCAGGTGTCCTGCAGCCCGGTCAGGGGGATGGACATGGAAGCCACTGCAAAGACACATCAGCCATCCTGCTCCTTACAGATCCCTAATGACTTAGCCTCAAGCACCTGTGAGAAAAGTGTCTTAGACTAACATAGCATTCAACTCCCTTGGTAAACTCTACTCGTCTAATTTTCCGCAGTCTTAGTAAAAACCAATTTGAAATGGAAACGCATTCACAGTGTGGGTACTGATAGCATGAGTATACGTTTTCCCATTGTAGCTATTGTTTATTTCTGCCTAACCTGAGGTGATTATTGAAAAGTGTGTACCAAGGTGCCTTATCATAGTTCCTAAAGTAGTCAGAAAGTTCATGGGAAATGAGATGAAGACCAAGTTTATTGGGGGAGGGGGCAGAGCTTGATTTTACATCACGTGCATGCTTTTTTTTTGCAAGCTGTAAAGGTTTCTTGAACTTTCTGAAGGCCCCTGATCGGCTGGCAGTCTGTTTTAGCTGTCTAACGTGAGCTCTGCCCTAGGCCAGTTTAACCCAAAGGTGATCCTTTTGCTGTGGTTTAGCTCGGGCACAGACAGAGTCTGCTTCATTCAGACAAAGCGAAGCAAGCACCGGAATGCCTCAAGCTGCTTTTAAACCAGATACACTTGTGCAGGTAAGGGTGCCTTTCAAAGCCAATTCATAGCAGGACGATCATTCCAGTGTTTGTACCCTGGCCGCTGCTAAAGCCGGGAACAACTGAAGCCCTGGGCACATGGGAGGCTCCGTGTATCTCTCCATTCATCAGTTATGTAAGGGATTAACCGAGGTGCCCTACTTAAGCAAATACCATTCTTAAAAACCGACAACCCAGTTGTGGAGAGGAGCAGACCCAGCTATCTGTGTAAACAAACACACAATGCTAGATAAAATGAGATGTGGCTTACCCATCCAGTGGGATCGGCTTCAGCCCTCCGAAGGAATACATTCTGAGAGGTGTCATGACAGGGGTAAGTCTTGCAAACTTTGTAGCAAGGGAGAGGAGCAGATTCTGTGTGCAGCAGCTATGAGCTGCTCAGAGTCGTCAGGTTCAGAGACAAAAGGCCTATACAAGATCACAAGAGGCTGGCTGGAAGAGGGAGTGTTATTTATTGAGACTTTCTCTTTGGACTGGAAACAATGATGTTGCCCACAGAACTCCAAGTGCCCTTAGTACGCTGGCATTAGTGGAAAGGGTAAATTTGATTTTTACCATAATTGCAAAAGCTGTACACTCGTGCACACCCGTATGAACGTATAGCAAGAAACACAAAGGTGCCAAGAACTCAGGGTGCTGGGAAAGGTGGGTGCTGGGTTACTGCAGTGACAGAGCACTTGTAAGGGACGAAATCGTGGCGTGAGAGTCTGGAAACAGAGCTGAGGGTGTGGGAAGGTGGGCGTGGGTGGAGACGATGGCCCCTGAATACAAAGGGAGGAAAGACAGGGCAAGTTGATTTGCTTCGTTAATGGGAGAAGTTGTTAGAGTGGAATGTGATTATTTGAGTCGAATAAAACATCAAATTTTTCAAATCCATGTTTGGAAGCTTGCTGGGTCATTTGATTGTGGAAACAGGCCCAGGATAAACTCGGGGTTGTGGAATTGTCGTTTGTGGTTCGAGCACTCCCTGGGCCTTGCGAGGTCCCACGCGGTGAGACGAGGGGAGCGGTGAGAGCTTCGGCCAATCTTGTCCTGCTGGCGGGTACTGGAAGGCCAGAGCAGGACTGGCCCCATTGGGTCACAACAGAGCGGATGCAAGAGAAGGGAGATGACCATACGTTTTTACAACTGTCCAGAAAAGAATCTGAAATGCTCTTTGTATTGAAGACTGGTTTATTTGAAAAGTAGAATTAACACAGAGAGAGAAATTCTGCATCTGTGGCTTACTCCCTGAATGGCTGCCCCATCGGGTTGCACCTGCCTGGAGACGGCAGCCGGGAGCTCCATGCAGGTCGCCCGCATGGCTGCCAGGGCTCCAGGTGCCTCTGCTGCCTTCTGCTGTTTTCTTAGCTGCAATAGCATGGAGCAGATTTGGAAGCAGAGCAGCTGGGATTCACGGTGGTGCCATGTGGGACACTGGCATCACAAATATTCACATGCCACAATGCTGGCCCCTGAGATGTATATTTGTCAAAGGTTTATGTTTATTGGGAAGGCATATTTACAGAGAAAAGGACAGACAAATAGGAGAGACAGGCAGTGTTGGTTCACTCCCCAAGTGGCTGCAACAGCCAGAACTGGGCTGATCCGAAACCAGGAGTCTCTTCCTGGTCTCCCATGCAGGTGCAGGGTCCCCAGGCTTTTGGCCATCTCTGCTGTCCTTCCAGGACAGAGACAGGGAGCTGGGTGGAAAATGGAGCAGCTGAGACATGAACTGGTTCCCATATGGGACCTTGGCACTTGCAAGGTGAGAATTTAACCATTGAGCCATTGTATCAGGCCCCAAAATACCTTACAGTACAAGGATTAAGAATGTTTTTGACTACATATAATATGGAAAGCATTAAAAACTGCTATCTTTATGTTTATCAGACTCAACAAACTAGAACAGTTTCACAATTTTGTTGTTCAAGAGCTGAGCAGTATTGAAAAGGATATGCAGGCTCTGAGTGAACTGGAGGAGAATGTTCTGGTAAGTTCTTTGGGTTTGGAATGCTCTGTGTGTTTGAAGAGCAGCTTCCCAGGCAGCATGCTCACTCTAAGACCTTGTGTCCAATTTCAGGAATTCTGGGGGAAGCAGTCTGCTGATTTGAAATCCTTCTGCGATCGTCAGGTGCTGAGGTACACACACAAGCATTGCTTCTAGAAGATTCTTAATTGCTGTGCGAGCTGATGTTGTAAGGTAGTCTGGGTGGTCTGGGTGGTTGGTGTTGCTCAAACCCACACAGACAGACATCTGTTTGCTGCCTCTTTCTTACCAGCTGCTTCCCAGGGATTAGAATGTGGCTAATATTCATTGAAAAGTATACATTTTGAAAAACTTAACATGTAGGTATCTTTTTTATAATTTTTTTTTTTGGTCCCTTGAGATTCATTCAGGTTCACCTATTACATCCTTAGCAAAAGAACCCAGAATTTTCCCTCCTATGTGTTTTTGTCTTGCTTATTATGGTCTGTGGTCCCTGCTGAGGTGGTTGATGCAATGAATCCAAGCTGGGGAGAGCATCAGGGTCAGGTTCTTCTGTGCTTCTTCTGGATCTTTCCATCTCATGTCAAAACTGAGGTCTGATCACTCCATCCTCATTTAACCTTCCTGCGAGGTCCGCAGCCCTTTCCCAGCTCTTAGGAACCCACGAGGACCTTGGAGCATGGCTGAGTGAGAACCTGGGCTTTCCTTCTCTGTCCCACGCTGTAGATGCTCTGGAGCACGCAGTTGTGTCCGTGTGGCAAGGTGGCACCAAGGGAGCTGGGCATGGAGCACGCAGTTGTGTCCGTGTGGCAAGGTGGCACCAAGGGAGCTGGGCATGGAGCACGCAGTTGTGTCCGTGTGGCAAGGTGGCACCAAGGGAGCTGGGCATGGAGCACGCAGTTGTGTCCGTGTGGCAAGGTGGCACCAAGGGAGCTGGGCATGGAGCACGCAGTTGTGTCCGTGTGGCAAGGTGGCACCAAGGGAGTTGGGCATGGAGCACGCAGTTGTGTCCGTGTGGCAAGGTGGCACCAAGGGAGTTGGGCATGGAGCACGCAGTTGTGTCCGTGTGGCAAGGTGGCACCAAGGGGGTTGGGCATGGAGCACGCAGTTGTGTCCGTGTGGGAAGGTGGCACCAAGGGAGCTGGATGGGTTTCCATGTGCTTTGTCCAGATGTTCTCTGTGGAAGCAGTATTATAAGATGAATTCTGAGAATAGTATTTAGATTTCAGAGAAAATAGTTGATCTTGGTTACGGACTGAACCATGTTCTTGCCAGGCCCTGTATCTTATGTGTGTGCTGCACATAGTGTGTTACATGGATGCTCATACTTGCTCTTCAAAGGGGGAACTGGCTGCCCTGCTCCTCTCTTTGCACTTGGCGCATGTTCTGGGGCTGTGGCTTCTGTGTGTCTGGAATGTGCTACCCTTTCCTGAAACCTGTGGAGGCTGGGGGGGAGGGGTTCAAATTCCCAAATTCTGCCCTAAGGGACAAACCTCGTGTTCTCTTCCCACTTAAGTGATCAGGGAAAATACCTGCAAGAAATAATGGCTATTTCTTTTTTTGGGGGGTGGGTGTGGAAGGGGCAGGAAGATTGGGTTATTTATCTGAAAGTCTGAGTGCAGGGGGAAAGAAAGGGATGTTTCTGGAACAACCAGTACCTTGCTGAAGCTCCATGCAGATGGCTCACGGGCACAGCACGGAGCTGGACGAGAAGCAGAGTGCACGGGATCAGAACTGGCACCCTGATGCAGGAGGCCAGCTTGACAAGGCTGGCTCTACGCGCTGCCCTGCGCTGCCAGCCCCATGGCCGGAGCTGTACCATTGCCTGCTGCTGTGTGCTGTGTGCGTCTGTCTCCCTTTAGTAACAGGTCCCTGTGGGGATTCAGAATACTTCAGAGCAGCTGTTTCTCTTCTTTTGTAAGATGAGTTTCACTTGAAAGGCAGGGTTAGAAGAGAGAGAGTGCTCAGTCTGTCTACTGTCTACTGGTTTATTCCCCAAATGGCTGCAGTAACCAGGACAGGGCCAGGCCAACAGCAGGAGCCTGGATTTTCATCCAGGTCTCCCCAGCACGTGGCCAGGCCCAGGCCGTCTTCCTCTGCTTTCCCAGGCATGTTAGCAGGGAGATGGATTCAACATAGAGCATGTGAGACTTGAACCAGCGACTTGTAAGGGCTCCAATGGGACACCAGCTCTGCCGGCAGTGGCTTATCTGGCTGAGCCACAGTCACCTCTTCTAAGCGTACATCCCTTGGGACGTTACTCTTCTACCTTCCAAGCACTGCGGAAAAGTGGGCTTGGCTTGCCTGGGGGGCTGCTGGTGAGCCCAGTTCTCACGGAACACTTGCTGGCCCACGCGAGGCGGGTTAGCCGGTTACCGCCCAGGTGGCCAGTGTCTGCAGCCTTTGTTTCTGTGTGATGGGGATTTCAGGGCTTTTGAGGATTCTTTCTTGGAGTAGATGACTGCCTCCTGGGAGTGAGGGATTCCCTGCTGGGAGCCGGGCTCCTGGAACAGCTCCGCGGTGTGGTGATGGAGGCAGTGCGCCAAGCAGAGTCACGTGGAAATACTCTCATCTCTTACGTTGGTGTCCTGGGCTTCTCCCTCCTTGTCCATGATTGAGTCATGTCATGATCAGTACAGTAACCGCTACTGTGGGACACACACACACACACACACGGCCTTACTTTTAAACTGCCTGATGTGATTTCATAATAAAAAAAATGGCTTTGTTTCTTCCAGGCTTAACCCCATGCACCCTTCATAAGCAAAGTGGGACCCCGGAGGGATTGGTACCTCTCAGGTAGGTACAAAGCTATGTTCTGATTGTCACGTGATTGTTGGTGGTGAGAGGTGTCAGCTTTTTAAAAGTTACTCTGGGAGCAAGTGTTGTGGAGGAGCGGGTTAAGATGCCAGCGGTGGTGCTGGCACCCCCCATAAGGGCAGCAGTTCAAGTCCTGGCTGCTCCACTTCCTGTCAGGTCCTTGCTAAAACATGTGAAAAAGATGGCCCCAGTCCTTGGGTCCCTGCATCCACAGAGATGACCTGGAGGAATCTCCAGGCTTTGACCTGGCTAGGCCCTAGATTCTGTGGCCCTTTGGGGAGGGAATCAACGGATCAAAGGTTCTCTGTCACTTCTCCTTTCTCTGTAACTGTCTTTCAAATAAATAAAAAATAAGTCTTTAAAAATGAAAGACTCATGTTTCTGTAGAGGAGCTTTCTTCCATTGCTCTCTCCTGTGTTGTAGAAATTGTCTGATGGGTCACTTATAATTGTGCGTTCGCTTTTCGAGTATGAGACAAACTATACAGAGACAGCAACACCCTGTTCAGCCATCAGTCCCTGGAAGGAAGAGAGAGAAAACAATGCAAGTCAACAGAACAGCCGCAGGTGTCCCAAGTCCTTTGTGGGACCTGGGCAAGGTGCTTGGCAGGGAGCAGTGGTGTGAAGAGGGTCATCAGCTTGGAGAGCTCAGCATAGTGATACGGGGGGGGGGGGGGGCGACAATGATTTGAAACAGAGTTGCAGGCATTGGAGATTCTCCATGGGGATCCAGCTTCCCTGACCAAGTTGAGAAGTTTGAATTTTGTTGGAAGGCAAAATACAGATGGGTTCTGGGTGAAGGCACTGGGAGTGAGGGTACTGTATATGAAATAGAACTGTGGCCACAAGAAAATGTTTTCAGCTGCTGAGTGAAGGATTGTTTGGGGAGTGAGGCATCGGAGAGCCCAACGGGAAGGCTCTTGACCACCAAAGCGGTGGCCCTCGCAGGAGAGTAGCAATGGAGATTATGACAAATGAAGAAATCCCCAGATTAATTTTTGGAGGTGGAATTAAGAAATTACCGATAGATGGAAATAATAGGAAAAGGAAGGAGGGCTCAGGGCATCTCCCGGCATTCTGTCTTCAGCAGTTGGTTACTATTGCCAAATGAGAAATAATGAAGCCTTGGGGCGGACAAGTGGGACTGAGGGTTGCTTATTAACATTTTAACTTTTGGATGCCTGTGCACACCTGAATTTGCTAAGAGCCTGGAATAAAGGCACAGATTTCCAGGAAAATTTAGCAAAAGGGTGGATGGGAAACCTTGAGACTAGATAAAGCAAGCCATCATTAAACAACAACCACACAAACATGACGTGGTCCGCCTCACTTCCCAGAAGGCTTCTACGTGCGCAAGAATCATCATGAGAAAAAGTTACAGATCAGAGTCACAAACTAATTTTACCCTAGCAGCTAAATAACTACAAGCAAGGAGATTTCAGAAAGTCCTGGAAACTGGGATGCAAAGATAAGAATATCTTGGTACGGAAGATGTTGACATCTAGGCATACAGGGAGTCTTCAGAAAGTTCATAGCAAGTACATATTATGAAAAACGGTAGCCATTGGTGTTTTCAAATACTTATTTTACCTAAAGGGGGAAGAGACAGACAGACTGTGAGGTCTTGCACTTGCTGGTTCAATTCCCAAGTGCCCTCCACAGCTGGGGCTGGACCAGGCTGAAGCCAGCATCCTGGAACTCCCTCCGGGTCTCCCCACATGGGTGGCAGCTGCTCGGTAGCTGAACCTGCTGCTTGTCCCATGCACAAAGCAGGAAGCTGAATCAGAAGTGGAGCAGCCAGTGCTTGGACCAGACACCCCGATCCCAGATACCTGGGCCAAACACTCCTGCATAGATTGCACTGACATCAATTTTCCCATCAACTTTTTGAGACACCCCTACGAATAGTCCTGTAAGGATCAGAAAATACATTTTCTGAAAATTCATTGACTTGTGATGAAAACTCAACCAACAAGAAAAAAACTTGTGAAATGAGAGATGGAGAGGTCAGTACGTTTCTGCAGATATCCACGGATAGCACTTAGAGCCGAAGGAGGAAACCGTGATTATCACGAAGAATTTCTATTCTTGCCATTTGGGCATCATGCTCAATTTAATAATTTCTGAGCCTTCTTAGTGCCCCTGTGAGGCTTGTAGTGTCAAATTTAAGTGAACTTGATCCGTTTTTCTATAAGAGCTTTCTTCAGCCAAGTTCTGCCCCCATGCATTGCCACCTGCAGTGCCTGAAACTCCTAACCCAGTCTTGGCTGCTCTGCTTCCGATTCAGCATCAGCTGCATTGCACCTGGGAAAGCAGCAGAGGGCGTCCCAGTGACTGGGATCCCTGCCAGTGTCGTGGGAGACTGGGCTGTGGTCCAGACCCCTAGCCCTGGCCTGGCCCAGCCCTGGCTGCTTTCACGATTTGAGGAGTAGACCAGTGACTGGAAGATGTGTCTGTGTGTCCCTCTGTCTGCCACGTTGGCTTTCAAAGAAATTGACATATAAATCTGAAAAACAGAAAGGTATTGGTAAGCCACATTTAGCAGAATGGTTTAGGCACAGTAAAGATTGTGTTGGCTCAAGATTGGCTAGAAGGGTGCATTGTAGAGGCCAGCAGGCCAGGAGGGACGGACGTCTGTGATGGACTCGTGGTGAAGTGGTGGAGTCTGCAGATCGACGGCTGTGGTGGGATAAGCCTGTACGTGGGTAAGGAGACCATGTGGCTTGGAGAGGCCTGGAAAGGTGATCAGGAAGTCGGTGTGAGGGATGGGGCCTGGGAGCACACAACATGAGAGGCCGAGCTGGAGGCCTGAGAAGGCAACGCACAGAGAAGGAGGCTCGTGCTGGTGTCCTCGTCCCAGGGAAGGCTGAAGGGGACTGGGACCCGCTGAGCTGAGGGGCATGGAGTTGACAGCCCCATAGAGAGAGATGGCAGGGAGGCTTCGTGGGAGATAGAGCCGTGACCATTCTTCAGTCATGGGGGCCGGGGAGAGGGTCTACCCCTCGGCCACAGGCGGGGGGTGGGATGAGGAGCGGAACCTAGCGGCAGCGGCAGCGGGTGACAAGTGGCTGATAGTGGCCGTCTTGGTGGTGAGCGAGGTCAGGAGGGGGTTGACGCTGCGTGGGCCTGCTTCTGGGTGGGACCACTCCCTGAGCTTTCTCACGGGGCCCCTGGGAGTTATCAGAATAACCCCCTAAGGGAGTGTAGGACAATCACCAAGTATTCTGTTGTTGGACACAGTCGCTGAAGACAGCAGCCTCCCACTCCGGTGGATTCTTTGAATGTTATTTTGTTGATTCCCATGACATTTAATAATGGGCCTTTTTACACAGATACCAACATTGTGATGTTTAGTTTGAAATTCTGAACTAGATTTCTGAAGGAGACTGCGTCCAGATTCATTTTTTTACACGAGTGAAATTCCGTGTACCTTGAAATGTGTTGTAATTATGTTTTTTTAAAAAAAGCTTCATCAGAGGGCAAATGAAATTCTTCTCAAACGTTATCTGCTGCAGGATCCAATCTTGTGCTGTATGATTTTGATCCAGCAGTTCCACTTGTAGGAAATTAGCTTAAAGATGAATGTGTGATGTAATGGAAATGTGATGGTTTGTATTACAGAGGCAGCAGAGGGAGACCTGGCAAAGCACCTCTGTGTCCAGCCAGTGTTTGGTTGATTAGATACACGGGCACGCAACACATCTTGTGCCCAGCGAAGGGACCAGGGTAGATCGTATTGACTGGCCTGGGAAGCTGCTTAACAGGGAGTTGAAATGAAAAGCTTATTGTGATCTGTAACAGTCCTGCTGTGTGGAGTGCCCCTGTCCATCCCTGTGCCTCTCCTTCCCTTCCTCTCTCTCTCTCACTTTTCTTTCCCTCTCTTCCTCTCACCCTTAAAGTTTTAGTTTTCTGAAAGAATGTCAGAGATGGGGTAGACAGATAATGGCCACAAGAGCCGTGTTCTCACCGGGCTGAAACCGGGAGCCAAGGAGCAGCACCCAGACCCCCTGCGTGGACGGCAGGGGCCAAGTATTTCAATCTTCAGTCATTGCCTTCCCAGGCACATTAACAGGAAGCAGGATCAGAAGTGGGGCAGCTGAAACTTGAACCAGAGCTCCGATATGGGATGCTAGCTTTACAAACTATGGCTTAGCCCACTGCACTACAATACCAGCCGCTATGCTCTTCTCTTGATAGCCTTAGAGAATTGGTCCCAGGATCTTCATGGGTGCCAAGAATACTTGAGTCCTTACGTAAAATGGCATAGTTGCCTAGCGTCTACACAAATCCTCCTGCGTACTTCAGATCATCTCTAGACTACTTCCAATACCAAATACAATCCAAATGCTATGTAAATAGCTGTTGCACTGTATTCAGAGAATAATGACAGGGGAAAAAATTGTGAGCTCAGTACAAATGCAGTTTTCAGATATTTTGAATCTGCAGCACATTGAAAGCGAGGGTGTGAACACAGCAGGCAGACTGCATTGTCGTCGATGGTGACACAGGGTAACAGTACCTACAGGGTCCCTGACCTATAGACTGTGCACCCAATCGGGCAGGCAGATGATAAAGAAGCAAAGTGTGTAATAGGGGTGAGTGACAAGAAGGAAGAAACTGGGGGAGAGAAAGACTCGGTGCGGAAACAGGAAAGGTCAGATAAAAACTAAGGATGTTCTGTCAGTTGAATTACAACCCAAAAGGTGGCAGAGTGCCAGCGGTGATGAGAGCTGGGGAAGGGTGTTTCCATGGCAACGGCCAGGGCAGGTGCTCTGAGGCAGTGGATGCTTGTACTCTAGGAACTCCGTGAAGGCAGAGTGGTCTGAAGTGAAGCGTAGGTGTGTGTATTGGGAATACTGATGAGAAGGCTCATAGGCCACCGCAAGGAGTTGGGTTTCATTCACACTGCTGTGCAGGGGGTCACGGTCAAGGATTGTTTGCCAGGTCATGTGTGTTAGGGCATGGAACGGAATGATACGG